ACTGAGGTATACACACACTGAGGTGTACACACACTGAGGTGTACACACACTGAGGTATACACATACTGAGGTATACACACACTGAGGTATACACACACTGAGGTATACACACACCGAGGTATATACACACCGAGGTATACACACCGAGGTATACACACACTGAGGTATACACGCACTGAGGTATACACACACTGAGGTATACACACACCGAGGTATACACACACCGAGGTATACACACCGAGGTATACACACACTGAGGTATACACACACACTGAGATATACATACACTTAAGTATAAACACACTGAGGTGTATATACAGTTGGTGTCCATTTCCGCTTGGTGTGTATATGCTGAGATATATATATGTATGATATATATATATATATATATATATATATTATTATATATATATATATATATATATATATATATTATATATATTATATAATATATATATATATTATATATGTAATGTATGCCTTAAATGCACCCTTGATGCTGAGGAAGGATCTTGATCCAGGAATTGGAGCAATGTTCTAGTACACGGATCAGCTGTTGAAAGTAAATGAGAGAGAGTGGAGAGAAAGTGATGAGAAAGTGAGAAGAAATGTGACAATGAAAGGTGAGGAGAGAGTCACAGAAAGTGAAAGTGAGTGATAAAGCGAGAAGAAAAGAGAGAGAGAGAGAGAGAGGACGAGGTGGGAGAGAGAGAGAGGAGAGGTGAGAGAGATGAGAGAGGAGAGAGAGAGAGAGAGGTGAGAGAGAGAGAGTCGTGAGTGAGAGAGGAGTGGGATGAGTGAAGGAGAGTGAGAGAGAGTGAGGTCGAGAGAGAGGAGAGAGAGGTGAGAGGGAGAGAGTGAGGAGAGTGATGAGAGTGAGAGAGAGAGAGATGAGAGAGTGTGATGAGAGGGAGAAGAGAGAGAGAGGTGAGAGTGTAGGAGAGATGTGAGGAGAGAGAGGAGTGAGGAGAGAGGAGATGAGAGAGAGAGAGTGTGGAGAGTGGAGTGTGAGAGAGAGTGTGGAGAGAGGGAGAGTGGTGAGAGAGAGGAGAGATGATGAGTGAGAGAGAGGGAAAAGGAGAGAGGAGAGAGGGAGAGAGAGGAGAGGAGTGATGAGGAGGGATGGAGATGGAAGGTGAGAGAGTGGGAGGTGGTGAGGAGGAGATGGAGGGGAGGGGGAAAAGTGGGGGAGAGAGGAGTGAGGAGGTGAGAGGAGGTGAGAGAGGAGGGAGAGAGAGGAGAAAAGTGGATGATGTGTGGGGGAAGAGAGGGGAGAGGAGAGAGAGAGAGGTGGGGAGGAGGAGGAGGAGTGAGGAGAGAGAGGAGGAGAGAGAGATTTGGTGGAGTGAGAGGAGATGGGGTGGTTGAGTGTTGTGAGGGGAAGGGGGAGGAGAGAGGAGGGGAGGGGAAGGGGGAAAAGGGGTTGGGAAGGGGAGAGAGGGGGAGAGTGGGGAGAGGGTGAGTGGGGAGGAGTGGTTGGGATGAGGTTTTAGAGGAGAGAGAGGGGGGGAAGAGGGAGAGAAGGGGGGGGGGGGGAAGGGGGGGGGAGAGATGTGGGAGGGGAGAGTGGAGGAAGAGGAGGGGGAGGAGGGTGAGAAGGGGGGGGGAAGAGGGGGAGGGGGGAGGGGGGGAGGGTGGGGGGGGGGAGGGGAGAGGGTAGAGAGTGGAGTGGAGAGAGAGAGAGGAGGAGAGAGAGAGTGAGAGGTGAGAGAGAGAGAGAGAGAGAGAGAGGGGAGAGGAGAGTGAGAGGAGAGAGAGAGAGAGAAGAGAGAGAGAGGAGAGAAGAGGACGAGAGAGAGAGAGAGAAAAGATGAGAGAGAGAGGAGGAGAGGAGAGAGAGAGAGAGAGAGAGCACCAGACTATAGAGTGAGTCAGCAGTTAAATATAACTTTCAGTGTTGATATATACTACTACTACCAAATGTTATTATTATTATTATTATTTTTTATTATTATTATTATTATTAATTATTATTTTAGATGATTATTTTATTATAATGAATATTTTATTATCATTATTGCTAATTATTTTTAGTAATGATAACTATTATTATTATTTTTAGTAATGATAATTATTATTATTATTATTATTATTATTATTTTTAGATAATTATGTTATTATAATGAATATTGTATTGTCATTAATAATAATAATAATAATATAATAATAATAATAATAATCAATAATTATTATTATTATTATTATTATTATTATTATTATTATCATCATCATCATCATCACTATCTTATAATTTTTTTATCTTCCTCTTAAATATAAAAGTTTATTATTGTTCTCATATTTCTCCAATATTTTTTTTTTTCAATTTTCCTCCTGTGTCTGAGAAACAAAATATTATATATTAACAAAAGTCTATTTCTGCATCAATCAAGGTGACATGTAATTTTTTTTTTTAAATTATACACCAGCGCGACTTTGTCACTTAATTTACATTTGCTGGAATTATGGCGGACGAATTAGGCTGTATGCTGCCTATTTTATTTTAGGCCAGCCTAAACCCATTTCGTATTGCATAACGTTAGTGTTATGCGTTAATTTCACGACGTTCGGGGATGGTTTGAGAAGATAAGCGACAATGGATTCGCTCTCGGGTTGTTTACCAAGTTTGTCGTAGCTTTTGCGATCTAGCATTATAGATTTCTGTCTGGTTACAGACGGCACTGTGACTGTGAAGTACACACACACACACACACACACACACACACACACACACACACACACACACACACACACACACACACACATACACATCCTTGGGTGTGATGTGTCTTGGGTAGGTGGGTACCTGGCGTAGGTGCCTCGTTCGTCAGCACACACAAGGCTTAGATATCCCCTATAAGGGTCAGGCACCTGCTGGCTTTCCCTAAGTAGGTGCGTAGGTTCACACACCGTAAATGAACACAGCAGAGAATCGCATATAGGAGAAGTGTAGGATAGTTGTGTTGCTGAGGACTAGGCTCGGGGTGCCAGGGACAAGCTTTGTCGTGACAATGTTTGCCTCTGTGAAGTAACTGAGAAAACATGACTTGAAGAAGCTCTTCATAGAAAGGAACATAATAAAGCTCTACACAGAAAATATGGCTTGATAAAGCTCTACACAGAGAGACACATAACTTGATACAGTTCTAAATGTAAAACATGACTTGACAAAGCTCAACGGAACGAAACTCTCCCCCCCAACAAAATCTCTGTTCCGTAGCCCGTCTACGCCTCGCTATTGTGGGCAGCAACGCTGGTCGAAGTCAAGGTCAGATTTTCACCCGCATTACCACATTAGTTGACTTGAGCGCCACCCTTCCCAGGCAGTCTAAGATAATTAGAAAGTCGGTCATAGCATAGAGAGATAGACCTTGGTTGTGCTACCATTGCGTGATAGAGAGCAGACTATTGTATGCGTCACAACCAAAGTCACTAGGAGTCAATGGAACAATGCGTTTTTTTCAAAACACAATGGCAGTATTTTAGCTTACACGGGTCGGGCCAACTTTTGGTATTTACGATTTGAAGGTAGAGTCAGATATAAGTTTTTGACATTTTGTCGGCTTTTTTAAAACGTTCAGTGAGGTAAATATATATATAGTGAGAGGAAAAGTATATATTTTTAAGTGTCTTTTTTGTCGTATATGGGAAATATTAGTGGTGTTCTGAACTTGGTACTGAAGCAAAGTTCCTTGTTGGTACAAGACTGAGTGCAGTGATCTGTATTCCTGGAACACACACACACACACATCAGTGTAAAAGTGGGGGCCAAGAGCTGTGAATCGATCCCTGCAGCCACAAACAGGTGAACACACAGAGCCTATTTCAGTCTTCCTGGGCTTCTCCCTCACTTCTCCTGTTGTTATTCTTCACATTTATTTCACATCATCCACAACATTCATCCAAACAGTTGCATTACCTCGGTGATACATCATTCACCACTTGTTCCTTCCCCAGTACCTCTTCCTGTCTTGCTATTATCCTCTGCCTTCCCCAGTACCTCTTCCTGTCTTGCTATTATCCTCTGCCTTCCCCAGTACCTCTTCCTGTCTTGCTATTATCCTCTGCCTTCCCCAGTACCTCTTCCTGTCTTGCTATTATCCTGTCTTCCCCAGCACCTCTCCCTGTCTTGCTATTATCCTGTCTTCCCCAGTACCTCTCCCTGTCTTGCTATTATCCTGTCTTCCCCAGTACCTCTCCCTGTCTTGCTATTATCCTGTCTTCCCCAGTACCTCTCCCTGTCTTGCTATTATCCTGTCTTCCCCAGTACCTCTTCCGGTCTTACAGTGTTCTGTGTGTTGGTATGTATGTTTACCCACTTAACTGAATACTTCAGAACTTTTCTCCAGGCTGAGGGACTGACCACCTCAAGCACTATATCTCTAAGGTTGAGGGACTGATTACATCATCTTCATTTCACTACTACACCTGCTGCTTCTGTATCTGACTGAAGAAGTCTACTGTGTAGGCGAAACATATCAACAATAAAGGTACCCAACTGTTGCACATGTGTCATAATCATCAACCTGTCAGTATTTTATACCATTGTCATCACAACGTATTTCTGAAATCATCAGAAATCTCTCAAGTAAATTATAGAGTATATAACATTTTATATAGTATAATATGGAATAATATCACTGTATTTCTAAAAGTGGAAAATTCATTTAATGTCTAATGTTATTATATATTTACAATGTTCGTATGAAATATTCTTTTGACTTTCTTGTCCATTGAGAATTCCAAATTTTGGAGTGTCCATTGTGACGAAGGAAAACACAATTGTTTATTGTTGATGACGACAGTGTTTTGGTGTGTGTGTGTGTGTGTGTGTGTGTGTGTGTGTGTGTGTGTGTGTGTGTGTGTGTGTTGTGTGTGTGTGTGTGTGTGTGTGTGTGTGTGTGTGTGTGTGTGTGTGGTCAGGGCCACAGGGGAAGGTCTGCTGGTACGTATTATGAGAGGTTTTTTTCCCCTGGGTTTGAGCAATGTGTTGAGTGCAGAAGTTGACTATATAAAGGTTCACTTGAACCTTGTTCACTCAGTCTCAACCTCAACTTCCATCACCATGTTTAAGACAGTGAGTCTACCATCACTCGTCATGTTGAAACCTGACTACTACCATGATTGTGGATATTGAAACCTGACTACTACCATGACAGTAGATACAGAAACCTCACTACTACCATGACTGTAGATACAGAAACCTCACTACTACCATGACTGTAGATACAGAAACCTCACTACTACCATGACTGAAGATACAGCAACCTCACTACTACCATGACTGTAGATACAGAAACCTCACTACTACCATGACTGAAGATACAGCAACCTCACTACTACCATGACTGTAGATACAGCAACCTCACTACTACCATGACTGTAGATACAGCAACCTCACTACTACCATGACTGAAGATACAGCAACCTCACTACTACCATGACTGTAGATACAGCAACCTCACTACTACCATGACTGAAGATACAGCAACCTCACTACTACCATGACTGTAGATACAGCAACCTCACTACTACCATGACAGTAGATTCTTAACCCTAACTACTACCATTAAAGCAAATTTTAATCATCAATTCGACCATTAAAGGAGAAATTGAGCATCAATTCTCCAGGTCTATCAGTCAAGTATTTCTGGATTATGTTAATATATGTTGTACGACAGAGCTTGAGTCATATGTAACTGTTTCACTTATCAATTTCAATACTGTTCTTTTAGCATAGATAAAGAATTAGACACCTGTGTAACATCTGGGTATCTTTATTGTAGACGTTTCGCCAGATGTTACACATGTGTCTGATTCTTTATCTTGTCGTTATTGTATAGCATACATACACGTTGTTATTCTTGTGTGTTTTCTGATGGGCTCATTACGTTTGAACCACTGTATCACCACTGTAGCACCACTGTATCACCACTGTAGCACCACTGTAGTCACCACTGTAGCACCACTGTAGCATCATTGTAGCACAACAATAGCACCATTGTAGCACCACAATAGCAACACTGTAGCAACGCTGTAGCACCACTGTAGCACCACTGTATCACCACTGTAGCACCACTGTAGCATCATTGTAGCACCACAATAGCAACACTGTAGCAACACTGTAGGAACACTGTCGCACCACTGTAGCAACACTGTAGCACCACTATAGCACCACTGTAGCACCACTGTCCACAAATTGTAGCACCATTGTTCACCATTATGGTGTGTTGCAGGTGATCTCTGTGTTGGCCATCTTCCTGTTTGTGGCCTCTACCATGGCCAGTCCCATGCCTGAGCCTGGCTACCTTCGCTATGGTGGCTATGGAGGCTATGGAGGCTATGGAGGCTATGGATATGGGGGCTATGGAGGCGGATACGGCTATGGCGGTGGATATGGGGGATATGGAGGCCGTGGATTCGGCTATGGCGGCTATGGCGGCTATGGTGGTTATGGACGTTAAGGGTGAGCCTAATTTGTTAATGTTATATTTGTCAATGTTATATTTGTTAATGTTATACACTTGATAACAAGTTTATAATAAGTTTTATACACTTATCTTATTTCTTGCTTATCTGCAACACAACTGTCAACACTCGAAGAAAATTTTGTGTTTCCAAGAAAAAATATAATAATAATAAAAGGCAAAAAAAAATCATTAATAAGACCAAATCAAAATTCAGAAATTCCTCTTCGTATCAAAAAAAAAATTAAATTAACTCAGTGTTAAATATTCTAACAATAATAACATCAGTATTACAGGATGTTTCAAAATGATGGACCCGATTTTAATACATATTGCTTTGAAATTGTTAATAATAAAGAAAATATCTTTTTCAGACTGTCTTGCCTGATGCAACACAAACTGTGTCTTGCCTGATGCAACACAAACTGTGTCTTGCTTGATGCAACACAAACTGTGTCTTGCCTGATGCAACACAAACTGTGTCTTGCCTGATGCAACACAAACTCTGGATTGGACTTATTACACCTTCCTTAACCCAGTAATTTATTTCCTTCCACATTTACCCTTATAAGATCAATTTATATTTATAAAATAAACAATACATCAAATTTTTCTCTCTTGTTTTCTATGAAATCCAAATAACAATATATACATATATATACAGGTCCAAAAAATCTTCTTTTTGCAAATTTCTCGGCTCAGTGGTATAGCGCCGGGTCTGCTACCTGCCATGACCACAGTTCGAGTCCCCGTCCAGTCTTCTCTTTCCTCCTGCCTACATAATAAATTCTATGAATTCTCAATTTATCTGGTGAGCTAAAACTTACCGAAAAGCATTTTCTGTTTGGCTACTATGAATATTTATGCAGCTTCTCTCCTACGGGAATTCTGCTGTAGTTTGTTAGTTGGGAATTATCTGAGCTGAGCTTACGACCGTCGCAAGACTTACGTTGTGTTTCTCGTATTTGAAAACGAGATCTTAGTTTGTGTTACATTGACTTTAAACCTGACTCCCGTGTAGTATGTTGGCTTTAAACGTGATTCGCCTTAGCCTACTGGCTTTAAACCTGACCCTTGTGTAATCTACTGGCTTTAAACCTGACCCTTGTGTAGTCTACTGGCTTTAAACCTGACCCTCGTGTAGTCTACTGGCTTTAAATTTGACTTTTGTGTAGTCTACTGGCTTTAAACCTGACCCTTGTGTAGTCTACTGGCTTTAAACCTGACCCTTGTGTAGTCTACTGGCTTTAAACCTGACCCTTGTGTAGTCTACTGGCTTTAAACCTGACCCTTGCGTAGTCTACTGGCTTTAAACCTGACCCTTGTGTAGTCTACTGGCTTTAAACCTGACCCTTGTGTAGTCTACTGGCTTTAAACCTGACCCTTGTGTAGTCTACTGGCTGACAAACAAGGCACTCTATCACCACGGTTTTCCATGAATTCCACTGGTGCTCACATGGCGAGAAGAATGTGTTCCATTTGTCATGATCCATAACCTCTGAGGAATTGCCAGCGCTGTGTTAGTTGCAAAACTGAGAGATAATATAACAAGGGAGGATCTTCTTGACACTGACTGGAGGTCGGCCATTGTTTTGTTAGTCAGGTGAGCAACGGGAAGCGTAAACATCTTGTTAAATTTCTTCTTGTAAATACTGCAATATCGTAGTCGGAATAATTGACTGCTCCCAATACCCTGGATGCGACAGTTCACAACAAACTCACAATACTGTGCCTGCAACAATTCACAACTAACCCACAATGCTGTGCCTGCAACAATTCACAACAAACCCACAATACTGTGCCTGCAACAATTCACAACAAACCCACAATGCTGTGCCTGCAACAATTCACAATAAACCCACAATGCTGTGCCTGCAACAATTCACAATAAACCCACAATACTGTGCCTGCAACAATTCACAACAAACCCACAATACTGTGCCTGCAACAATTCACAACTAACCCACAATACTGTGCCTGCAACAATTCACAACAAACCCACAATACCGAAAGAAAATTTTTCGACTTCTCGGTTCCCATGTGACCCATCATCAGCTAACGTCTGTGTGAACTCCACTAACCGTCAATACAATCCCACCCGCGTTTCGTGCAGGAGAGCGAAACGTGGCCACAATAAAATGTCATATTAGTTACACTTGTGTCCTTCAACCTAACTTATTGTGGGTTATTCTACCAAGACTGAAGAAGCCATTGGCTGGCGAAACGTTCCAGAATAAGGATAACCCAAAAAAACGTTGGCACAAACGTCTCACTCACAGAATACACAGAACTTAAACGCATTTCTTTACTCTTTAATAAAACACTTCGGTTTTATTCCATTTAAATAAAACACGGTTTGCGAAAGGTTGCTTTTATTTCGTAAAAAATAGACGTTTTTTCGTAAATAAGTGTGAGTGTCGTAAATCGGAACAAGGGCGTTCGTGTAAATCGGCTCCACAGATTTTATTCCTCTGGAAACGATAAAATCTTCATTAGTAACTTTAATCCTCTAAATCTCTCACCTCAACATAGGTAGAAAATACAACATTGGCAAAATTTTGAGATAAATGGTATAAAATCCCGACGTGATTGACAAAATAATCAGAAATACAATATAATGGGAGCCTTTATTGACAACATTTCGCCCCACATAGTGGCCTTTATCGGATCCAGGAAAAGAGAGTCGCAGGAAAAAAGGTCACAGAAAAAGATCAGGACCTAACCTAAATAAAAACGTAACTTTATTCCAGTGACCTTTTTACAGGACACCACAACGGCAGGTAGATCTGTTTGTGACTTGATAAAGTTCACTGTATGGGCGAAACGTTGTCAATAATGGATAGCATTATACCGCATTTGTGTTTATTTTTTATTATATTGGCAAAATATCCTCACCTTTAACATCCATATCTAGCCACCGAAGCCAAATCCAGGACCTCCATGTCCATATCCGCCACCGTATCCGCCACCAAAGCCTCCGTATCCACCATAACCACCGCCGTAGCCCCCATAGCCTCCATATCCGCCACAAAGCCACCATAGCCGCCATATCCGCCACCAAAGCCACCATAGCCGCCATATCCGCCTCCATATCCGCCGTAGCCACCAAGGAAGCCAGGTTCAGGTCCGGGGTTGGCCATAACAAGGGCCACCAGCAGGAAGACGGACAACGCAGTGATCACCTGAAATACAACACAACACAATTGTAAAAATAAATTCCTTGAAAAGACGAGTGATAAGATAATTATGAAGCCTCACATTCCCCTCACAATCTTGCACAGTTACTCACAATCTTGTACAGTTACTCACAATCTTGTATATGGTGCAGAAGTCCCTGGTACAATTGACTGACCAGGGTCACCACTCGCCCTTATATACTCTTCCTTGGTTAAGACATCCAGAGAACAACAACCCAACAGTACCCAGGAATGTCCATTATTTTATGTTACCCAAGTAATAGCTTTTATATCCTTTTACTCTTGTACGAATTAATTGCTCTATCATATTGTATTACTTTTGTCACTACCACTACCACTACTACTACTACCACTAGTGAACATCGAAATGTTACCTCACTAGTATTGCACCTCACTCTGAGCCTTTATATACCCTCTGTGTCCATGTATTGTTTGTAATGGCTTGATAAAGCTCCTGGAGAGCGAAACGTTGCCACAATAAATGTCACATTAGTTGCACTTGTGTCCTTTTACTTTACATAAAATACCCAGGAAACCAGACATTAACTACACCAGTTCAGTGAAAGTTACAACCGGTATCGAGGTAGACACTCGTCCAATACTTGGGTATTCTTATTGTGGTATTAGCTGCACTTGTGTGCTAAGAGATATAATAATTAAGAACATAAGAATGGAGGAACACTGCAGAATGCCTACTGGCCTTTTATATTCCTTTTATCTATCATCTTGTCATCTTATGTTTGCCCCTCGTGTTTATCTTTCCAGGAGAGAGGCGGGAGGAGCTAAGTCTTACACAGGTATCACCACGATGAATATTTTCTGAAAGTCTGTAAAAAACTACTGGGAATGAAAACAATAGTCATCCCAATATAATAATTTCTGACTGGCGATACTTTATTGTTAGATTTACGTGATTTATATGATTTATATGATTTACGTGATTTACATGATTTATATGATTTACATGATTTATATGATTTACATGATTTATATGATTTACATGATTTATATGATTTACATGGTTTACATGGTTTACATGATTTACATGATTTATATGATTTACATGGTTTACATGGTTTACATGGTTTACATGGTTTACATAATTTACATGATTTATATGATTTACATGGTTTATATGATTTATATGATTTACATGGTTTACATGGTTTATATGATTTACATGGTTTACATGATTTACATGATTTATATGATTTACATGGTTTATATGATTTACATGATTTACATGATTTACATGGTTTACATGATTTACATGATTTATATGATTTACATGATTTATATGATTTACATGATTTATATGATTTACATGGTTTACATGGTTTACATGATTTACATGGTTTACATGATTTACATGGTTTATATGATTTACATGGTTTACATGGTTTATATGATTTACATGATTTACATGATTTACATGATTTATATGATTTACATGATTTATATGATTTACATGGTTTACATGGTTTACATGATTTACATGGTTTACATGATTTACATGGTTTATATGATTTACATGGTTTACATGGTTTATATGATTTACATGATTTACATGATTTATATGATTTACATGATTTATATGATTTACATGATTTATATGATTTACATGATTTACATTATTTACATGATTTACATGGTTTACATGATTTACATGATTTATATGATTTACATGGTTTACATGATTTACATGATTTATATGATTTACATGATTTACATGATTTACATGATTTACATGATTTACATGGTTTACATAATTTACATGATTTACATGGTTTACATGGTTTACATGATTTACATAATTTACATGATTTACATGATTTACATGGTTTACATGATTTACATGATTTATATGATTTACATGATTTATATGATTTACATGATTTATATGATTTACATGATTTATATGATTTACATGGTTTACATGGTTTACATGGTTTACATGGTTTACATGATTTATATGATTTACATGGTTTACATGGTTTACATGATTTATATGATTTACATGGTTTATATGATTTACATGATTTACATGATTTACATGGTTTACATGATTTACATGATTTATATGATTTACATGATTTACATGATTTACATGGTTTGCATGATTTACGTGATTTACGGAATTTACATAATTTACATGATTTACATGATTTATAGATATAAAACAAGAAAGGCAGTGTAAACCTCATTAGGTTTAATTAGTACAGATTTATTTACGACTTGATAAAGCCCACTGTGTGGGCGAAACGTAGTCAGTTAAGGCTCTCATTACAATGCAGTCTGTATATGTTTTAAATTTTTCTCAACACGTCGGTGGTTTTAATGAGGAATTGTCTTGTATAGACCAGTAGGCGTTCTGCAGTGCTCTTACATTCTTGTGTTCTTTGATTTACTTTTGATACGTTTCGAGAGTTTTCTTACTTCCGGAGCCCGGCTGGTCAACCAGGCTGTTGCTACTGGTGGCCCTGGGCCAGGCTAGTCTGGTCAACCAGGCTGTTGTTACTGGTGGTCCTGGGCCAGGCTAGTCTGGTCAACCAGCTGTTGTTTACTGGTGGTCCTGGGCCAGGCTAGTCTGGTCAACCAGGCTGTTGTTACTGGTGGTCCTGGGCCAGGCTAGTCTGGTCAACCAGGCTGTTGTTACTGGTGGTCCTGGGTCAGGCTAGTCTGGTCAACCAGGCTGTTGTTACTGGTGGTCCTGGGCCAGGCTAGTCTGGTCAACCAGGCTGTTGTTACTGGTGGTCCTGGGCCAGGCTAGTCTGGTCAACCAGGCTGTTGTTACTGGTGGTCCTGGGCCAGGCTAGTCTGGTCAACCAGGCTGTTGTTACTGGTGGTCCTGGGTCAGGCTAGTCTGGTCAACCAGGCTGTTGCTACTGGTGGTCCTGGGCCAGGCTAGTCTGGTCAACCAGGCTGTTGTTACTGGTGGTCCTGGGTCAGGCTAGTCTGGTCAACCAGGCTGTTGTTACTGGTGGTCCTGGGTCAGGCTAGTCTGGTCAACCAGGCTGTAAATTCTACTAACCAAACCATACCCCGGCCGGATTGAACCCGCGGTCATAGAGTCTCAAAACTCCAGCCCGTCGCGTTAGCCACTAGACCAGCTAGCCACAATAAGATTCGTCCAACTATGTAGTGACGGCAGTGAAGGGACTTGAGCTAGAGTTCGTCACGGCCACGCTAGCTGGAGATTCGTCTGTAAAAACTTGCATTTGTGGTCACAGTGGTGCCTATGCTAACCTTTCTATGGTGTAGAAATATACCTAGTTGGATGAATCTTATTGTGGCTAGCTGGTCTAGTGGCTAACGCGACGGGCTGGAGTTTTGAGACTCTATGACCGCGGGTTCAATCCCGGCCGGGGGTATGGTTTGTTTACAATCGTGTCATTACGATTTCGTGAGTCATGTAAATTCTACTCATTGTAAATTCTACTCATTGTAAATTCTACTCATTGTAAATTCTACTCATTGTAAATTCTACTCATTGTAATTGATGGCAGTGATACACGGTTTAAATAACTCGTTTATTATCTCAGAAAAAAATATAAATGTTTTTATTACAGAGGTAAAGGCGGAGGATAAAGGAAAAGTAAGTCGGGATTATTGGCGTAAGTCGAGACCAGAGTTTATGTTACGTCAGCCATGGTCACAGACCGGGCCGGGGGGGGCCACTGACCCCAGAAAGCCTCTCCAGGTGTCTCCAGGTGTGTACGTCCCTCTGGGGAAGAAACAGCGTTCTTTTATGTGCGAAATGGTATAAATAATCGACATGTTGAAGATTAGGACACATGTGCAACACCTAGGTGTCTTTATTTTGAAAAGTTATCGCCGGCCAGTGGCTTTCTCAGTCCCATGCAGAGGGGTAGGAACTGGAGACAGTAGAAGACTGGGTAATCAGTCCCTCAGCCTGGGTGGAGGTCTTCACCAGCGTAGTCCTGATTAACCAAGACTACGCTGAGGGTAGGTCTTACAAGCTAAAACCTTGAACACCTTAAAAACAAATTAGACACGTATATGCGTGGATTTGACTAGACCTGAGGTGGTCAAGAAAGACACGGTCCTGGGACCTTGAAGTGACCAAGGTCCCAAGACCGGTATTTATTACCAACATTTATATACCAGTACCCGGGGTATTGAGTCCTGGTCTCAGACCGGTTGGCGGGGGCGTTGACCCCCAAAACCCTCTCCAGGTAGGGAAGGGAGGGAATGAGTGGTTTTGAGAAGGAGGAACACTGCAGTAGGCCTACTGGCCCATACTAGGCAGGTCTTTTCCTAAACCCAAACCCACTAAATAAGAGTATTTACTCAATCCATTTTCAAGACCCTGCCTATTATGGGCCAGTAGGCCTACTGCTGTGCTCCCCCGTTCTTATGACTCATTACCGCCTCTTTGACCGTCTTGACTCAGGAAATCGATTACTAGAAAAACCACGGAACGGGTGGGATTTAAACCCACGGCGACTGAGTCGTAAAACTCTTCCAACGTAATTAGTACATAATCAGACGTTTCGCCAAGCCACTACTGGGCGAAACATCGTCATTAAACAGATACCCAAGTTTTGCATCTTAATGCTGCTGCTACAAACAATAAACTTAACAGACATACAACACTGCGACACATTTCGCTCACCAGGGAGTTTATCACTGCATTGATAAATGCCCTGGCGGGCGAAACGTCTCCTTAAATCGCTTCCCTTGTGACACTTGCGCTTCCCACTCTTCTTATGTCATTATTGTCAATAGTAAATTATGTTCCATTAATATATATTTCTTTCTTTTTCGTAAATAAATATCGCAAATTTTAAAATAATCTGATTTGTTAAGAGACATTAACAAAAATATAACATTAACAAAATATAATGTTAACAAATTAAGCTCACCCTTAACGTCCATAACCACCATAGCCACCATAGCCGAATCCATGGCCTCCATATCCACCATATCCACCGCCATAGCCGTATCCGCCTCCATAGCCCCCATATCCATAGCCACCATAGCCACCATAGCCACCATAGCCACCATAGCCACCATAGCCACCATAGCGAAGGTAGCCAGGCTCAGGCATGGGACTGGCCATGGTAGAGGCCACAAACAGGAAGATGGCCAACACAGAGATCACCTGCAACACACCATAATGGTAGACATTGGTGCTACAATGGTGTTACAATTATGCTGCAATGGTACTAAAAAATGGTGCTACAATGGTGGTGCTAAAAAAGGTGAACAATGGTGCCATCATAACGAGAGAATGAACAAGAACAAATACACTGAGAGAACAAGAGTGATGTTGTTAATGACTGATGTACAATACTAACAAAATTAAAAATTAGACACACGTACAACATCTGGGTATCTTTATTGCAGACGTTTCGCCATTGATAAAGCCACTGCATGGCGAAACGTTTACAAATAAAGATACCCAGATGTTTCACATGTGTCTAATTTTTCAGTTTTGGAGTTGACACGTGAACCATCTTCTGTGATACAGTATTTGTCATCAGTGTCCAGAAGCACCTGACTGATAGACCGGGAGAATTATGTTCAGTATCTGCTGTAATGGTAGGATTGATGGTTCATATCTACTTTAATGGTAAGAGTAAGGGTTCAATATCTACAGTCATGGTAGTAGTCAGGTTTCAATATCTACAGTCATGGTAGTAGTCAGGTTTCAATATCTACAGTCATGGTAGTAGTCAGGTTTCAATATCTACAGTCATGGTAGTAGTCAGGTTTCAATATCTACAGTCATGGTAGTAGTCAGGTTTCAATATCTACAGTCATGGTAGTAGTCAGGTTTCAACATCTACAGTCATGGTAGTAGTCAGATTTCAATATCTACAGTCATGGTAGTAGTCAGATTTCAATATCTACAGTCATGGTAGTAGTCAGGTTTCAATATCTACAGTCATGGTAGTACTCAGGTTTCAATATCTACAGTCATGGTAGTAGTGAGGTTGCTGTATCTTCAGTCATGGTAGTAGTGAGGTTTCTGTATCTACAGTCATGGTAGTAGTCAGGTTTCAATATCTACAGTCATGGTAGTAGTGAGGTTTCTGTATCTACAGTCATGGTAGTAGTGAGGTTTCTGTATCTACAGTCATGGTAGTAGTGAAGTTTCTGTATCTACAGTCATGGTAGTAGTCAGGTTTCAATATCCACAATCATGGTAGTAGTCAGGTTTCAACATGACGAGTGATGGTAGACTCACTGTCTTAAACATGGTGATGGAATGGAAGTTGAGGTTGAGACTGAGTGAACAAGGTTCAAGTGAACCTTTATATAGTCAACTTCTGCACTCAACACATTGCTCAAACCCAGGGGAAAAAAAAAACCTCTCATATACGTACCAGCAGACCTTCCCCTGTGGCCCTGACCACACACACACACACACACACACACACACCACACACACACACACACACACACCACACACACACACACCACACACACACACACACACACACACACACACACACACACACACACACACACACACACACACACACACACACACACACACACACCAAAACACTGTCGTCATCAACAATAAACAATTGTGTTTTCCTTCGTCACAATGGACACTCCAAAATTTGGAATTCTCAATGGACAAGAAAGTCAAAAGAATATTTCATACGAACATTGTAAATATATAATAACATTAGACATTAAATTAATTTTGCACTTTTAGAAATACAGTGATATTATATTCAATTATAATATGTTGTATAGTAGTGTTTGCGTGGTAGATTACTGTTAATCTCAGGAATATACACAACATACAACACTGTGTATATTTGGTGAGTATTTTACTGCTGATGTGTATATACTGAGAGCAATACTATGTACACTTGCAGGTGTGTATATCTCAGTATATGTACACTGGAGGGATGTACAGTATATTTCGGTGTATGTACACTTGCAGGGGTGTATATCTCAGTATATGTACACTGGAGGGATGTACAGTATATTTCGGTGTATGTACACTTGCAGGGGTGTATATCTCAGTATATGTACACTGGAGGGATGTACAGTATATTTCGGTGTATGTACACTTGCAGGGGTGTATATCTCAGTATATGTACACTGGAGGGATGTACAGTATATTTCGGTGTATGTACACTTGCAGGGGTGTATATCTCAGTATATGTACACTGGAGGGATGTACAGTATATTTCGGTGTATGTACACTTGCAGGGTGTATATCTCAGTATATGTACACTGGAGGGATGTACAGTATATTTCGGTGTATGTACACTTGCAGGGGTGTATATCTCACTGTACATTTCTGTTGTATGTATGTCTCTGTCGTAGAGGTGTGAGCTTTGCTCACACCTCTACGACACAACTGTCATCAAAGATTAGTTAAGTTATACCATGAATTAAGGAAAGATCCTGGACTTCACCTTACGAACCAGACAAAGCAAATACGATAGTAATTATGAACAAGGTAGATTATAGAGGCAAAATAAACATGTTATTAGGAGTCTGGAGAATTTACGAGCCTCTTAAACCCCATAAACCAAACAAACTAAACACTGGCTCGGGAATATTACACAGATTTCTTTCGTTTATGTGTGAAAGCTGAAGGTTTTGTTCCGTGCCAAGGAGACAATAATTTTGGAAATCATTTATTAAGTACAAAATAAATCTTTTTTTTTTTTTTACAAAGGTAAATGCGGAAGGAAATAAAATTCTCAATAATTTTGTTACAATAAGTCGAGTCCGGAGTTAGCGTTAACTTTAGCGTCCAAATCCGTAGCCACCGTAACGACCGAAGCCAAATCCACGACTTCCATATCCATATTCACCTCCATAGCCACCATGACCTCCACCAAAGCTTTCGTATCCACCATAACCACCGCCGTAGCCCCCATAGCCTCCATATCCGCCGGAGCCACCATAGCCTCCATATCCGCCTCCATATCCGCCGTAGCCACCAAGGAAGCCAGGTTCAGGTCCGGGGTTGGCCATAACAAGGGCCACCAGCAGGAAGACGGACAACACAGTGATCACCTGAAACAACACAACACAACACAACACAACACAACACAACACAACACAACACAACACAACACAACACAACACAACACAACACAACACAACACAACACAACACAATTGTAAAAATAAATTCCTTGAAAAGACGAGTGATAAGATAATTATGAAGCCTCACATTCCCTCTCACAATCTTGTACAGTTACTCACAATCTTGTACAGTTACTCACAATCTTGTACAGTTACTCACAATCTTGTACAGTTACTCACAATCTTGTACAGTTACTCACAATCTTGTACAGTTACTCACAATCTTGTACAGTTACTCACAATCTTGTACAGTTACTCACAATCTTGTACAGTTACTCACAATCTTGTACAGTTACTCACAATCTTGTACAGTTACTCACAATCTTGTACAGTTACTCACAATCTTGTACAGTTACTCACCATCTTGTACAATTACTCACAGTCTTGTACATGGTGAAGAAGTTCCTGGTACAACTGACTGTTAGGATTCACTACTCATCCTGTAACACTTTTCCATGAGATAAAAATATTAATAACAATCTTAATGTAGTACCCAGAGGCCAGACAGTGGAAGTAGTGACCAGTACTGATGGTCAGGGTATGTACACTTATACATGTATATCTTTCAGGGTATATACACCGAATTATATGTTCACTATAGAGCGCTTATATATATATATATATATATATATATATATTATAATATATATATATATATATAATATATTATATATATATATATATATCGGATCACGATAAAACACCTAGCTCTGCTGGGTGCTTGATTCTTGTAGGATTTGGTGGTCCTGTGGGTTTGAGCGTCGTGTGGTTCTCGGTCACCATGAGGTGGGCCAAAACAACATGAGTTCAAGTCCTGGCTAGTTGTAGTGTTGTTCGTGCTTACAATAATACTCAGGTGAGCATCTCCAAGGGTACTGAGCGACAGGTGTGTACCTGTCAGTACTGTAAGTATTCTATAGTTTTTATAATAAGAAGGTTATCTGGTACTGCAATATGATGGTATCTTGGTACGAGTGCTGTCTCCAGCATCTCGTTTGCTAACAACTGTTGAGTATGATCTATTGCCACTAGTGGGCCTAGAATCACCTGTGGCCTCACCTTCAGCTGCTACACCCTACATTCCTGTACATAATTCTCTGGTCAACTGCCTCTGCCTCAGGCCACGAGAATAATCATCTTGCACGTAGGATGATAGACTGACTAAATCATACTAACTCTCAACTTCATCTACAATGTCTACCACCAAGGTTCATGTCTCCAGGAGTGTGAATCATCCTTGTATTCGATTGATGAAGCCTGCTACGCAGGCGAGACGTTTCCTCAGTAAAAAGTGCTTAGCATTGCACTTGTCTTAATCGTCAACTTGTCTGTCTTACATACCACTTATAATGTGTTCTCTCTGGATGTATACACTGAGAGGGACGTATATCCTGAGAATCTAGGAACATCCTTCAGGAATCTCAACAAACAGTCCTTCACGGACCTACATAAAGCATGTGTCAGGTTCTTCTTGAAGTTGAAGTATGAAGCGCCAGTGTGGAGCCCACACCTGTTGAATAATGTTAAGAAATTGGAGAACGTGTAGAGTTATGTAGCAAGGCTTGTTCCTGAGTCAAGGGCTATGATCTGAGGAGAGGTTAAAGAAACTGAATCTTGAGACGCTAGAGGGCGCAAAAACCACGGGAGATATGATAACAACGTATAAAATACTCAGGGGAATTGATATAGTAAATAGGGACAAGATGTTTGAGTGGCGAGAAACATGTATTTGAGGGTCACAGCTGGAAGTTAAAGACAGAGCTGCAGGGATGTCAGGAAGTATTTCTTCAGCCTCAGAGTGGTCGGGAAGTGGAACGACCTCTACGAAGAGGTGGTGGAGGCAGGCTCCCTACATAGTTTTATGGAAAGGTACGACAGGGCCTAAGAGGCTAGGAGGGAATGAATCAGACAAGTGTCAAGATAAGAAATGGGGCCAGGAGCTGAGACTCCATCCCTGCAACCACATATAGGAGAGTAGATGAATATACGTGAGTACACAGACACAGACAGACAGACACAGACAGACACAGACAGACAGACACAGACAGACAGACACAGACAGACAGACACAGACAGACAGACACAGACAGACAGACAGACACAGACAGACCAGCCCCAGACAGACACAGGACAGACGGGACACAGACAGAAGACACAGACAGACAGACACAGACAGACACAGACAGACATACACAGACAGACAGACACAGACAGACACAGACAGACAGACAGACAGATAGACAGACAGACAGGGGTGAGTATAACACCAGGCACATCTCCTGAAGCGCATATCAACCAAATAACTGCTGCAGCATATGGGCGCCTAGCAAACCTCAGAACAGCATTCCGACATCTTAATAAGGAATCATTCAGGACCCTGTACACCGTGTACGTTAGGCCCATATTGGAGTATGCGGCACCAGTTTGGAACCCACACCTAGCCAAGCACGTGAAGAAACTAGAGAAAGTGCAAAGGTTTGCAACAAGACTAGTCCCAGAGCTAAGAGGTATGTCCTACGAGGAGAGGTTAAGGGAAATCAACCTGACGACACTGGAGGACAGGAGGATAGGGGGGACATGATAACGAATACAAAATATGAGAGGAATTGACAGGTGGACAAAGACAGGATGTTCCAGAGATTGGACACAGTAACAAGGGGACACAGTTGGAAGCTGAAGACACAGATGAATCACAGGGATGTTAGGAAGTATTTCTTCAGCCACAGAGTAGTCAGTAAGTGGAATAGTTTGGGAAGCGATGTAGTGGAGGCAGGATCCATACATAGCTTTAAGCAGAGGTATGATAAAGCTCACGGCTCAGGGAGAGTGACCTAGTAGCGATCAGTGAAGAGGCGGGGCCAGGAGCTCGGACTCGACCCCCGCAACCTCAACTAGGTGAGTACAACTAGGTGAGTACACACACACACACACACACACTGGGAAGTGATGTAGTGGAGGAAGGATCCATACATAGCTTTAAGAAGAGGTATGATAAAGCTCATGGAGCAGGAAGAGTGACCCAGTAGCGACCAGTGAAAAGGCGGGGCCAGGAGCTATGAATCGACCCCTGCAACCACAACTAGATGAGTACAACTAGGTGAGTACAGCTAGGTGAGTACAACTAGGTGAGTACAACTAGGTGAGTACAACTAGGTGAGTACACACACACAGCTTTACAAACTCCTTGAGAAAAAATCAAATCTGTAATTCCAATTTGGATCACCGCGGGTCCCAGCTAGCGACCTTGCACACACACTCCACAACACAATAACAAATGCAATACTAACTGCACACTCGCTGGGGTATAAAAAAATCGCTTGAACAATAGCTGCAAAATTAAGGCTTGATACAAGCGAACAACTTAGAAACAAAGAACGTTTGACCTTAGAAGACAGTGGAAAAGATTTAAAATAAATGGTATAGAAAAAACAAACCATGGTATGGGTGGGGTTTGAACTCGCGGCAAGTGAGTCGTATAACTCCACGCCAGTGCGTAAGCCGCTGCGGTTTGTTTGCAATCGTGTCATTACGATTTCGTGAGTCAACTGGTATAGATCTGAGTAATCCCACGTACGTGATTACTAGCTGGACTTACGGACCGAGTTATTACAGGTGGATATATTAAACGATTTGCTCTATAAATGACTTGTTGTGACAACAGACTGAAGGTCTGTATGTTTCCCGTAGATAAAAGGCAATAATAAAAAAATAATTGTTAATTGTTATTTTTCTATCTTTTCTTGAGAGAGAAAATGATATAAAAACTCCAGTGTTGTTAATAATGGTATAAAATACTCCTGGAGGTGGTCAGTCAATCCAGGCTGAGGGACTGACCACCTCAAGTGGACTGATTACATCATCTTCATTTCATTAAACCTGCTGCCTCTGTATCTGACTGAAGAAGCCTACTGTGTAGGTGAAACGTTTAATCAATAAAGATACCGAACTGTTGTACATGTGTCATAATCTACAAGATTCCAGACTCTTGTCACAACTTTGTCAACAAAAGTCCTCCTGGAAAATACAGATGTTGAGTAAATATTTGTGTGGAAGAACTGGTTGACTGGGTGGTTAACTGGGTGTGAAGTCTATCTACCACACGACATTCATAAAAAACTGCGTGTCACCTTTACACCACCAGTCTAGAGTACTGTAGTACCTCTCGGTGTATATACACTGAGGGATACACCTATCGATGCATGTACACAGGGAAATAAACACCCCATGGTGTATAATAACTGTGAACCTGACGCTGGCATTAGTAATACAATGATCTTGCAAATACTGACGTTCCTAAGTATGATCTAAGCTAACTAGACACATGATCAGTCTTAACTTCCAGCAAAGTAGGCTAAGATTTAGATTTTGAAAGAATATAGACAATTATAGCTTTGTTTATTCAGTCACAGCTGTGTGGAGGGTCTGGGAGGTACTGTCACGCAGCTAAAGGTCACCTCTGGTATGTGTACGTCAGAAAAAAAACTTAATGCAGTATTTACGTAGTGGAATTCGATCTTATGTAAGACATGATCGTTATTTAACACTGGCAATGAATGTGTGTGTATGTGTGTGTGTGTGTGTGTGTGTGTGTGTGTGTGTGTGTGTGTGTGTGTGTGTGTACTCACCTATTTGTGGTTGTAGGGGTTAAGTCACAGCTCCTGGCCCCGCCTCTTCGCTGGTCACTACTAGGTAAACTTTCTTCCTGCTCCATGAGCTTTGTCCTACCTTATCTTAAAGCTATGTATGAATCCTGCCTCCACTACACCACTCTCCAGATTGTTTCACTTCCTGACAACTGTATGACTGTGTGTGTGTGTGTGTGTGTAAGTGTACACGTGTGTGTGTATGTGTGTAAACGCGTGGGTTATGCTGCGCCTATTTTCGGGGCCGCAGGAAAGTGCTGTGTCCGAAATTCAAAATTTTTTTTGGTGTGTGTGTGTGAGAGTGTCATTGTGTAAGGCTGGTATATATATTGAGTGAGGTTGAGTGTGGAGCTCAGAGTCAATCTCAACCACCACCATGATGAAGGCTGTGAGTTACACTCCTTTCTTTACATCAGTTTAATTTCTGCAGTAAATGGCTGCTTTTATGATGTAAATGGCTACTTTTTTTCCATTTATCTCACACCAGACAGACATGGTGATGAATCAGACATGTCCAGTACCTTTCCTGTCTTCATCGTAGAAATGTTTCGCTCGCCGGTGGCCCCTTTTTTTTATCAGTTCGGTACAGTGGCTTTCTGCAGCGAACTGGAAAAAAGGCCATTGCTTGGCGAAACGTCTTCCAAATAGATATACCTGAATCTTTCGCTCATTATTTTGAGAATATAAAAACGTAGGAATGGACAAACATTATTATTGCTGTTATTATTATTATTATTATTATTATTATTATTATTATTATTATTATTATTATTATTATTATTATTATTATTATTATTATTATTGTGTTTCAGGTGTTTGCTGTGTTGTCCATCTTCGTCCTTGTGGCCTCTGTCTTGGCCAGTCCCATGCCTGAACCTGGCTATCGTCGCTATGGTGGCTATGGTGGTGGCTATGGTGGCTATGGTGGCGGCTATGGCGGCTACGGTGGTGGCTATGGCGGATACGGTGGCTATGGAGGTGGATATGGCGGCTACGGTGGCTACGGTGGCGGCTACGGTGGCGGCTATGGCGGCTATGGTGGACATGGAGGCTATGGTGGCTATGGATATGGACGATAAGTTAACGTATGTATTATTTACGTAACGCAGTACACATTTCCCTGTGACTTGATAACGGTCTATAATAGGCCGAAATGTCGCTCAAAGAGGCCTAAGTCAGTGCTATTAGTGAATAGATAAATTATTATTATAATCAAAAAGAAGAGTGAATAGATGAAGAATCTTATGACATTAATAATAATAATAATAATAATAATAATAATAATAATAATAATAATTTTTTCCAGGATCAGGACAGAATAACAGAGAATGGTAAGGACATATGGTCCTCCAGTTTGTCAAGAGTTGGTCCTGGGGTCCTAGTGGTCCTGGCAAGAGGTCTTCTGTGGGACCACCTGTGATTCCTGGGAAGAAGTCTACTGTGGGACCACCTGTGATCCTGGGAAGAGGTCTTCTGTGGGACCACCTGTGATCCTGGGAAGAGGTCTTCTGTGGGACCACCTGTGATCCTGGGAAGAGGTCTTCTGTGGGACCACCTGTGATCCTGGGAAGAGGTCTTCTGTGGGACCACCTGTGATTCCTGGGAAGAAGTCTACTGTGGGACCACCTGTGATTCCTGGGAAGAAGTCTACTGTGGGACCACCTGTGATCCTGGGAAGAGGTCTTCTGTGGGACCACCTGTGATCCTGGGAAGAGGTCTTCTGTGGGACCACCTGTGATCCTGGGAAGAGGTATTCTGTGGGACCACCTGTGATCCTGGGAAGAGGTATTCTGTGGGACCACCTGTGATCCTGGCAAAAGGTCTTCTGAGGGACCATCTGTGATGCAAGTGGTCCTGGCAAGAGATCTACTGTGGGACCCCTTGTGGTCCTAGTGGTCCTGGCAGGAGGTCTTCCGTGGGACCACCCTGTGTACACGGTCTGCCCAAACTATCTAAACCAGTCCTTTATAAACCACTCTGTAACTACCACTACCAAACTTGCTTGGAATAAAACTCTGATAACTATACCTAACTACTCTTCTTGTTGTCCTGGTGACAAAGACTTTTTCGCTGCGGTTGTTTTCAGAGACTTGTAATGAAAATTGTCTTGGTGGGTAATTAGAAAAATTGTCTTGGTGGGTAATTAGGAAAATTGTCTTGGTGGGTAATTAAGAAAATTGTCTTGGTGGGTAATTAAGAAAATTGTCTTGGTGGGTAATTAAGAAAATTGTCTTGGTGGGTAATTAGGAAAATTGTCTTGGTGGACAATGAAGAAAATTGTCTTGGTGGGTAATGAAGAAAATTGTCTTGGTGGGTAATTAGGAAAATCTCGGCAGGAAAACAAATATTAGCTTCATATGTAATAAGAAAAATATAAATATTATAATTGATAATATATAAGTATAATTGAAAGTGATGATGATGATGATGATGATTATATTGACTACTACTACTACTACTACTACTACTACTACTACTACTACTACTACTACTACTACTACTACTACTACTACTGCTACTACTACTACTACTACTACTACTACTACTACTAGGCCTGTTAGTATACTCAGTATAATATCTAAAATTCTAGAGAGGGCGGTGTATTCTCAAGTAGTTAAGTACCTTAATGACAACAACATTCTCCATAGCTATCAATCGGGCTTTAGAAGATCCTACTCAACCGACACCTCCCTTATTAATCTGATGGATTACCTGAGAACTGAAATGTCAAAGGGGAACCTCATAGGTATGGTAACCTTAGACCTGCAAAAGGCCTTCGATACTGTCAACCACAATATATTATATAATAAACTTCAAGCTATCGGTATAGGTTCTGTAGAGTGGTTTAAGTCCTACCTTAGCAACAGGAGACAAATAGTCAAAATCAACAAAACAGAATCAGAACCCCTGCCGATAACATGTGGAGTTCCCCAAGGTAGTATTCTGGGTCCCTTATTATTCTTATGTTATGTCAATGATATGCCTATCAGTGTCAAGTGCAAACTCCTACTGTATGCAGATGACAGTGCTCTGTTAGTGACAGGTAAAGACCCACAAGATATTGCTAATGTTTTAACACTGGAACTGGAGTCCTGCAGCAAATGGTTAGTAGACAACAAACTATCATTACACCTAGGGAAAACTGAAGCCATTCTCTTTGGCACGAAACATAAACTGAGAAGGGCAAATAACTTTAATGTTCAATGTAATGGGGAGCCCATCACTTTGGTTTCATCAGTAAAATATTTGGGAATTCCCTTTGACCCATGCATGTCAGGAGAATTGATAGGGAACAGTGTAGTAAAGAAAGCGAATGCCAAACTGA